GGAGGGAACTCGGGGTTTTTATACCCTGCCAGGACCTGCCACACACTTGGGGACCAGCACTTAGCCAGGCACACGTTTTGCTGTATAAGCTCCTTCTAATTGTAATAATTGCTCTGATAGGTGGGAATGATTAGTAAATCAGCTCCACATCATCCAATGTGTGCAACACACCCTTTGTCTCACTTTAATCCTGAAATAGTTTTTGTATGAATTTTGGGACTGGGGCCGTTCCCTGACCTCGTTTGACTCCCAGACTGAGCTCTGTTGGCTCGGTGGGGTAAAGGCACCAGGTTTTCCTTAAAAACACCACTTTGGTTTTGTCAGGGGAAATACTTTCTGTCCTGCGGAAGAAACTGGAGTTCAGGATTGTGCAGGATTGGGAAAATGGCAAATTTCCTCCTTCTGTCTCCTTGGATGGGAAAGGTCTTTTTTTCCCCTGTTTAACACCCACCCAAGGAACTCCCCACAGGAGGGTTTAAACAAATTAATTCCTTGGATGTCCTTTGTCACCCAAGAAAGCACCAGGAAGCACCATGTGAGAGCAAGGAGTGATTTTGTTATCATAATCCTCCTTTTGCCACCTTTCAGGAGAGCTGCAACATTCCAGCAGGACACACAGCTCTTGTCCTGGAGGCACCATCTGAGGAAAAAAACCCCAATAATTTTGGGTATGGAAAGGCTGCATGTAGAGTATGGAAAGGTGCTTTAATCTAAAACAGAATAAGAGAGTCTTAAGAGTGGCAAGGGCTGTTTTTTTCAGGAAAACCACAGTGGTATTCCCGGATTTAAACCTCTTTATTGGGAGGAAGAGACACAGAAGCACCAACAGGAGGAGAGACCTCTGAGCAGAGTGTCCTCTGTCAATGACTGGGGGGTTTTCCAGCCCCAGGGACCCTTTGATCACCCTGTGTCTCATTTCCCCCCCCTGTGATGTTTGCCCTCGGTGTTTATGTAACACATCCCAGATCCCTGGGGTTCCCATCCCCACTCAGAAAGTGGAGCACGGGGGAGCTGCTGGGGCTGAGATCTTGCAACAGAACGTGGACAAGTCCTGTCAGGCACCGGTGACAGCCCTTGATTTGACAGCTCTGCTTGTCAGCAATTCCTCCTTGACTCCTCAATTAGTGTGAAACTCTCCGCTTTCCTCCGGTGGGGTTGGGAAATCCCAGCTGACACGAGGAACCCCAGGAACCAGCCCTGCTCCTGGTTCTCCCTTCTGGAGAATGGCAGCACCTCATCGACCCCCCGAGGGTTCCCAAGCCGGGTTTGGGAGAGGGAAGGAGAAATGTAGTGGATTTATCAGATCAGTAAATCCCCCTGGTGCTTCCCTGCCCATTCCAGCTCCAAGCCCAGCAGGGCCAGGGCCACCATCAGCTGGGGGGGTCGGGGCAGGAGATCAAAGCTCAGATCAAAGCAGGGCTCGTAACGTGACTGGGGACTCGTAATAATAAAGTCATCAAGTCACTTAAAGAACAATTAGGCCAATTAAAGGAATAATCCACACGGCCAAACACGCTCGGGGAGCGCGTGGGCAGCTCTTGCACAAAGCGTGGCTGCTGTCTCAGGGGGTCTGAGGAGCTATAAAAGAGCTCTCAGGGCTCCCCAGGCCCATCAGAGACAGCTCTTCCTCTGCACTGCTCCAGACCCGGTGAGTTGGACCCTCTTCTCTTTCTCTATGAACCAAGAGCAGATTAATTCCTGTCTTTACCTGAGGACTCCTCCTGCAGGGCCTGTGATTGTCTCTTCCGTGCTTTAAAACTGAGAGTCTGTTAAATATCTGCATTTTTAGACACAGCTGATGAATTATGGGAGGGGGTTTCCTCAGGCACTCGGATCAGTTCAATATTGTTCCTTTACCTCCACCACATGTGTGTTGTGCTCCAAAGGAATCCTGAAGATGAGCTGCTTCCAAAGGCACGTGGAGCTTGGCTTTGCCCTCCACCATTCCCAGCACTGCTGGAGCAGCAGGAACTTTGGGCAAAGGCAGCAGAGGGACAAACCCGACCCCTTCCAAACTCTCCTTTCCCCCTTGTTTTCCTGCTGGTGAAGGACACCAGAGGCAGGTTTGCTTTTCCCCCTGGCCTTTGGGGTGCTGAGCTGGTGCTTCCCGTCCCGCTGCAGGTCCCTCTGCAGCCCAAGATGTCTTCAGGAGCTCTGCTGAGCAGCGGCTGCTCGTCCCCCTGCCAGGTGACCTGCCCAGAGCCCTACGTGGACGCCTGGAACCAGCCCTGTGTCACCTCCTGCGGGGACTCCCGGGCCGTGGTCTACCCCCCTCCCGTGGTGCTCACCTTCCCAGGGCCCATCCTGAGCTCCTGCCCCCAGGAGAGCCTGGTGGGCACCGTGCTGCCCCAGCCCATCGGGGGCAACTTCGGGGGCTCCGGGGGCGACTTTGGGGGCTCCTATGGAGGAGGAAGTTCTGGGGGGGGAATTGGGGGCTCCTATGGAGGAGGAAGTTCTGGGGGGGGAATTGGGGGCTCCTATGGAGGAGGAAGTTCTGTGGGGGGAATTGGGGGCTCCTATGGGGGCAGCTCCATAGGGGGAATTGGGGGCTCCTATGGGGGCAGCTCCCTGGGGGGAATTGGGGGCTCCTATGGAGGGGGCAGCTCCTCTGGGGGGGGCTTTGGGGGCTCCTATGGAGGGGGTAGGTCCTTTGGGGGCTCCTATGGAGGGGGTAGGTCCTTTGGGGGCTCCTATGGGGGCAGAAGGTCCTTTGGCTCCAGCTCCTATGGGGGGGGCTTTGGGGGCTCCTGCGGCGGGGGCAGCTCCTACGGGGGGGGTTCCTATGGAGGGGGCAGCTCCTACGGGGGGGGCAGGAGGTTTGGGGGAGGAAACTGTGGCTCCTTTTACTTCTGAGGAGCCCCCCCTGTGCCCTGGCAGCAGCCCTGGGCTGTGCTGAGCTCCCGGGGGAGCTGCAGTGCCGGGGCTGTGCCAGGGCTGGACTTTGCTGGTCCCGGTGGAGCTGCAGCACTTCCCAGCTCCCTGGGACAGCTCCTGTGTGCTGTGGGACTGCATTCCCCACACCTACCCTGGGCTTCCCACCCACCCACCACCATTAAAGTTCTGTTGCATCGCTATTTTTTGCCCAATGTTTTCTTTTTCACCTTTTCACCCCCAAACCTCGTTTTTCACTGGCTCAGTTGCCCCGAGCCAGCTGAAAACCTTCTGTCCCACGTCCTTGAGGGACCTCCAGGGCCCTTCAGGTGACAGCAGGAATTTGCAGCAGTGGAAAACGTTGCTCCCTGTGACACATTCCAGGATTCATGTGGCTGAACTGGAATTCCACCTCCCCACACTGTGGGATTTCACCTCCTCCTGGCAGTCTGGGATTTCTCCCTCCTCGCTGCAGAGCTTCGTGATGATCCCAAGCAAATTATCTAATTGTTTTCAAATTGAGCCTGTTTCTTCAGCCCTATTAAGGTTTTGCTTGGAGCTGATGAGTTTATTGTCTGCCATCATTAATCACAGATTAAAATCCCTTAATTCCTTAAGCACTGGGAACTCAAGCCATTGCTTGGTTCTGTGTCATCTAATTTCCTTTCCACCTCCAGAGAAGCTGCCAATTAAAATCTTTGTTCCTGCCGTTTTCACCTTGGTTTTAGAGAGAGAGAAAAAAAATTAGATTTTCCAAGTCAGGAGTCTGTCCCAGGGATACCTTTCCAAGGAACATCAAAGGGAGTAGAGCAGGGTTTTAGGACATCTTCAGCTTTCAGTAGACTTGGAGACTCACCCATCGGTCTCTTTGTGCTTCTGCTCCCAGGAGCAGCTCCAAAACCAACAACACAAGGTGTGAGTCCTGCTCTTGTGTCACTCCCCCCTTAGGAAATCCTCTCCTGCACACCCTGGTGATGTGAAAGCACATTTTGCTGTGGTATAACTGCAGCCCTTGGATGGGGCCACAGTCAAGAGCAATTTCTGCACATCTCCAAGTGCCTGACACTGCAAGCTCGAGGGGACAAATCAAGTAAAGTTTCCTTGCTGGATTTTCCTTGGTTCCCATTCCCAAACCTCAAAGAAATGTTGATTTGCATTCTTTAGGCACTTCTGACAGTGTGTTGGAGTTGCCCAAACCTCAGACATCCTCAGGGAGCCACAATAATTCCAATAAAGTGACTCCAAATGAAAGATGGTGATAGAAGGGAGGGGGTCGGGCTCTGCTCCCAGGGAACAAGGGACAGGAGGAGGGAAACGGCCTCAAGCTGTGCCAGGGGAGGCTCAGGTTGGCCATGAGGAGGAATTTCCCCCTGGAAAGGGGCTTGGCAGGGGCTGCCCAGGGAGGTGGGGGAGTGCCCAGCCCTGGAGGTGCCCAGGGAAGGAGTGGAAGTGGCACAAAAACATCGAGTCACCACCTCCAGAAACCTCTGTGACCCACAAAGAACCACTGAACTCCTCTGTGGGCTTAAATTTGGAGTGTTTCCTCCAACCCTCCCTTTCACAGCTCCTTGATTGCTTCAGCAATCACCACAAAACCACATAATTGCTGCTCTCAGGCTCGAGGAAGGGCAGGGAGTCAGCGGGGAGGGTCAGACCGGAGCGGCCCCGCAGAGAAAGGGAAGCTCAACCAAAATGTGCTGATGCAGGAGGGTTTTATTGGGATACAGCGGGGAAGGAGGTGGCCCATGACACAGAGCAGGCACTCCCTGGAGCACAGCACTCCCTGCCCAAGCAGAGTCCAGCTCCCACCCTCTGTTCTCCTCCTGTCACGGCTGCATTGACAGACTCGGGGGCAGGCTTTCGGGTCATCCTTTTGTCTCCAGCTGGCCCAGTCAGAGGGGAGAGGCAGTGCAGGAGGATCAGGGGAGCTGTCACCAATAACACACAAAGGCAGAAAAGCAGCAGCAGAGAGGTGTGGGCCCAGTTTCCAGGGGTGCTGAGCGGGGGTGGCTCCCGTTGGGGCTTTTGCCGTCCCTGGGAGCCGATCCCGGGGCAGGGTCCGGGCTGTGCCTTCTCATCTCCTGGTTCCTCGCCTGGTCCGGGGCTTTTCGGGTGCCTGGGAAGGAGCCTCAGTTTCCCAGGCGGGAGCAGAGGCTGGTGTAGAACCTCCTGCTGTAACACCCCCCTGCCCTCGAGGAGCCCCCGGAGCCTCCGGAGCTGCAGCATCCAGAGGAGCCCCCCATGCCCGACATGCCCCCCGAGCCAGAGGAGCCCCCCGAGCCAGAGGAGCCCCCCATTCCTGACATGCCCCCAGAGCCATAGGAGCCCCCAGAGCCATAGGAGCCGTAGGAGCCTCCCATCCTGGGGCTCAGAGCACCGGAGGGCTGCGGGAAGGACGAGCCCACAAAAGCTTCCTGGGGGCAGCTGCTGACGACGGGGCCCGGGAAGGTGATGAGGACTGGAGGGGCATAAACCACGGCCCTGGAGTCCCCACAGGCTGTCACACAGGAGCCAAGGCTCCTGCCATAGGCACAGGGCTCGGGGCAGGTCACCTCACAGCCGGGCTGGCACCGGGAGCTGATGCTGCTCATGGTCCTCGGGGTCGGAGCTGGAGCTGGGAAAGGAAAGGTGGGAGTCAGGAAAGCACCACGGGCAGGGGCTGCTGGGTGCCCATCACGGGGTTAGGGGGCAAATCAGACCCTTGTCCTTCGCAGCCACAGAATCCCAGAATCCCTGAGGCTGAAAAAGCCCTCCTGGGTCACCGAGTGCCCCCTGTGCCCCATCCCCACCTTGGCCCCAGCCCAGAGCACTCAGTGCCACAGCCAGTCCTGCCCTGGGCACCTCCAGGGCTGGGCACTCCCCCACCTCCCTGGGCAGCCCCTGCCAAGGCCTGAACACCCTTTCCAGGGGGAAATTCCTCCTCATGGCCAACCTGACCCTCCCCTGGCACAGCTTGAGGCCGTTTCCCCTCCTCCTGTCCCTTGTTCCCTGGGAGCAGAGCCCGACCCCCCCCCGGCTCCCCCCTCCTGTCAGGGAATTCCAGAGCCAGAAGGTCCCCCCTGAGCCTCCTTTTCTCCAGGCTGAGCCCCCCCCAGCTCCCTCAGGAGTTCTCCAGACCCTTCCCCAGCTCCCTTCCCTTCTCTGGACGTACCCCAGCCCCTCCATGTCCTTTCTGAACCTCCTCCCTTAAATCCCCCTGTCCTGTGAGACCTTTCCTTCCTCCCTTCCTGCCCCAGGACTCTCCTTTATCCAGCAGAGTCAAGCTTTCTATTTGCCCCCCTCAAGTTTTGAAAGCCATAAGGAAGAAGTGAAGGAACTCTTTTAAAATCCTCTTTAAATGCTAAGTTGGTTTCTGGCACCATCTCCACTGCAGGGAGTCTCCTGGGAAAGGGGGTTTCACTGCCACAGCTCAAGGCTAAAATCACAAAGTACAGACCCAGGAAAGAGTCCTCATTTCAACTAAACAGAAACAGGACAGATGGGAAGTATCAGCTTAAATCCAACTTACCTCTGGTAGCAGGAGAAGTCAGGAGAAGGCTTTAGGAGACTCCAGAGATGGTCCTGCTTTTATACCCCTTTGCAGGCAGCTCCAGGGATGTGAAGCACCTCATAAAATCTCCACCACTTACCAAATTGTGATTTATTTTTTTTCTGTGTGACTCCTCTGATGCTCATAATTATTTTCATAGTTTCTAATTAGCAAATCAACCCTGGACATATACAGTGCCACTCTCATATCATAAATCTGAGGGTTTTACTGGGCTGAAACTTGGCAGCCTGTGCAATATCCCTCTGGTGACCTCACTGGATTCACAGAGGGAACTGACCCCTGCTGCTTGTTTTTTGCTGATGATTTGCCAAAGGGGGGGCCTGGAAAGATCAACCTTCCCAATCTGCTTTTGAGAGTGGCTTGAACTGATGTTGAGCAATATGAGAGGATTTTGAGGTTCAACCTCCCTCCTGAAGAATTTCGGGGGGGTTTTTTCATGGCAAGGGTTGGGATGGAAGGGCTTTCCCAACGGGAATGGTTCTGATTCTGAGACCCACCTTGGAGCACAAAGACCTGGTGACTCTTGGGTGGCTCCAGTGGCATCCTCATGACAAAGCTCTGAGCTCAACACCCCAAAATGAGCTTTGACACTTAATTGGGGGAAATGACTCCGAGGGCTCAGGGCTTAAGTTCATGTCACGTGTCACCTCAACCCCCTCGCTCTGGGTTCTGCTCTGTCACCCCTTGGGATGGATTCAGGGAGGGTTACAAAGAATCCTGACCCCCATCCCGGGTGGGGTCAGGCCATTCCCTGGGAGGGATTATCCCTAAATCCGAGGATTACACCCCAAAAATGTGACTGACACATCAGTGGCCTCCTTCCTTCGGGCCACTGGAGAGCAGCAAACACAGAGATCAGCTCCTGTTTCCTTTGGAAGCAGGGTGATGCCAAAAGGATTGTTCTGGAGACAAAAGGAGCCTGGTGGGTGTTGGACTCGTGTCGCTCAGAGCAGGGCTGGAAGTGGAGCACCAGAGATGAGCTGAGGTGGAAACAATCACAGGGCTTAAGAGAGGAGCTTTTTTCCTTGCAGGTGACATGAATTTGGCAAATAATGGATGAGCTCACATCCTCCTCATTGTCCAGAAAGCTGTATAAAAGGGGAGAGAACTGAGAGCTCTTCCAGCCCCACTGATTTATTCCTCCAAGCCAGCAGGGTAAGTCTGACTTCACTGCACTTCTCTGGAGCTAGTTCAAACTCACTTCTTTTTTTATCTGGCAAAATTCCAGCCTCTGACTGGTCACCACACAGCGAGGTCACCCCCAAGCCTTCCCTTCTCACTGTGCTTTCTGTGTAGGGAAGAACTTCCACACGTTTCAGTGGCTGAGCCTGGCAGGGATCGTTCCCAAGTGCCCATTTCAAGCTGGGAACATTCTGGATAGTGGATAATTCTGGATAATGATGATAATTCCATGCAATGTGGGTCGCAGAGAGTGGGTGGTGGGTGCACCCCCACTCAGCTGCACCCAACTGGGCTCCCCCAGGACCGAGAGGATCCGACTCAGGACCCCGGGGCTGCCCCTGTGAGCTGGGACTGCAGGGAAGGTGATGCCTCCCAGTTCATCCAGGAGAGTTCCACCCCCACACGGGGCTTGCTCAAGAGCCCGGAGGATGAAAGGTGGAGCAATGGGAGTGAGAATTGCTGGGCCATCTCTGCCCCAGCCCCTCTGCTCTCTGAGCCAAGGCTGAAAGTGCAGAGCCCTCAACACTGAGCAGCACCTCGGGCACTTCCTACAGACCTGGAGAGGCAGGACAGGGGGGAATGGGCTCAGACTGGCACAGGGCAGTGTTAGGTTGGATATTGGGAAGAAATTGTCCCCTGGGAGGGTGGGGAGGCCCTGGCACGGGTTACCCAGAGGAGCTGTGGCTGCCCCATCCCTGGGAGTGCCCAAGGCCAGGTTGGAGCAACCTGGGCCAGTGGAAGGTGTCCCTGCCCGTGGCAGGGGGTGGCACTGGATGATCTTTCAGGTCCCTTCCAACCCAACCCATCCCACGATTCCAGGATTCCGGGCCCGGAGAACACACCTGGATGTGCTGCTCGGGCAGTTCTGGTGGGGGCTGTGCCCGGAGAACACACCTGGATGTGCTGCTCAGGCAGTTCTGGTGGGGGCTGTGCCCGGAGAACACACCTGGATGTGCTGCTCAGGCAGTTCTGGTGGGGGCTGTGCCCGGAGCCCCCCGTGAGCCCCAGTTTTTGGGGAGCCCCAGGGCGGCCGCTGTCCTGAGGGATCCCACGGGGCTGCTTAACGAGCTCAGATCATTTGCTGCATTAGTGCTCCAACGGAGCTGACAAACCACAGGGATTAAGGCAATCAGAGGAAGGAAATGGATGCTGTGCTTGGCAGGGCAGCACTTGCTCAGCCCCTGCCACCCAGAGCAGCACCGTGGAAGGGGCTCCGAAAGGAAACCAAGTGATGCAGCTGCTGGGGGGAATTTGTCTGACTTCCCAGCACTCTGCACAGTGCAAGGCTTGTGGGCTGAGTCTCAATTGCATCCCAACAACTCCTTCCCCTTTCTTTTGGCTTGGTTTCCCAACGACATTCGGATCCAGACTAACCCACTTATCTGCAGTCAGATATTTTATCACTATTTTATCATCAGGGCCAGATAAAGCAGAGCACATCCTTGTCTTCTGATGGGACTCCTGCAGTTCCTTCAACCCCTGCTGAGGGTCAGAACCGTTTCCTCTGGGACATTCAAGGAGTGACTGGCAGTGACCCCCAGGACTGACCTCGCTCCAGAGGTGCTTTGGTTTTGAGTGGGAGCTGCACCAACCATCTCCAGAGGCCCTTCCAACCCGGATTATTCCAGGATTCTGTTCTGTTTATTAGTATGGATACCACGGCATAGATCCAAAAGGGGGAAAAATACCTTATTGAAGAATTTCTGACAAATCATGGTCACCACACGGGGGAATTAATTCTTCTCTGATGGTAACACTTGATTACTGCACAAGGATCGATGCACCAGGTTGGCTTCTTTCAGAACTGGTTTGTAACTCTGAGACTGGGGTGAAATGAAAGCCAGAAGCCAGGGTTGTGATGCAACAGGGCTTTAATACCGACAAAAAGTGAAATAGAGTCTGGCAGGATGAGGCAACGCGGACACAGAGAACGACATTCCCAGTCCTTCGTCCTTCGGGGGAGCTCCCGGGACATTCTGGTCACCAGCTGGGCACTTCCAGGGGCCAGTCCCGGGACTTGTTTGACTCTCTTCGGGTTCAGGAGGTACAAAACACAACACAAGGGACACAGGGGGGCACAGTGGGATCCAAAGCCTTGGGCAAAGCGCAGGGAGAGCCCAACAACCCCGGCTCCGAGCGCGGCAGCTGGAGCAGGGGCTGCCTGGCTTGGCTGGGGCAGCTACTGCTCTGCATCCTATTTTTCCTGCGGACATTCCTCTCTCTCAGAGGGTTAAAAAGGCCCAAAGCGAGACCTGTAGTACCCTCTGGAAAAATAGGGGTAAGAATTCCTACCCAAGCCCGAGAAATAGGAGTTCCTGTAAACGCTCGCCCAGCGGGAGAACCCCCCCCCACACGAGCCCTCCCCTCCATAGGAGCCCCCACCTCCACCACAGGAGCCTCCATAGCCTCCCCCTCCCCCTCCAGAGCCAATCCCTCCCCCTCCATAGCCTCCCCCTCCAGAGCAAATCCCTCCCCCTCCATAACCCCCCCCTCCATAACCCCCCCCTCCAGAGCCTCCCCCTCCAGAGCCTCCCCCTCCAGAACTTATCCCTCCCCCTCCAGACCCTATCCCTCCCCCTCCATAGCCTCCCCCTCCCCCTCCAGAACCTATTCCCCCCCCTCCATAGCCCCCCCCTCCCCCTCCATAGCCCCCCCCTCCGGAGCCTCCCCCCCCCTCAATCTCGGGGATGGCCGTTCCCACGACGCTCTCCTGGGGGCAGGAGCTGATGATGGGCCCCGGGAATGTCACCACCACGGGGGGGGCGTAGACGATGGCTCGGGAGTCCCCGCAGGAGGCCACGCAGGGCTCGTTGCAGCAGTGGACGTAGGGCTGGGGACACGACACCTCGCAGGGGGAGGCGCAGCGGGCGCTCACCAGCTGCCCGTAGGAGGACATCCTGACACCCAGCAGGGCAGCCTGGGGGGCAGAGGGGACACAGACCCCGTCAGGTCACAGCCAGGGGGGACACAGACCCCGTCAGGTCACAGCCAGGGGGGACACAGACCCCGTCAGGTCACAGCCAGGGGGGATACAGACCCCATCAGGTCACAGCCAGGGGGGACACAGACCCCGTCAGGTCACAGCCAGGGGGGACACAGACCCCAGAGGGGACACAGACCCTGTCAGGTCACAGCCAGGGGGGACACAGACCCCGTCAGGTCACAGCCAGGGGGGACACAGACCCCAGAGGGGACACAGACCCTGTCAGGTCACAGCCAGAGGGGACACAGACCCTGTCAGGTCACAGTCAGAGGGGACACAGACCCTGTCAGGTCACAGCCAGGGGGGACACAGACCCTGTCAGGTCACAGTCAGAGGGGACACAGACCCCAGAGGGGACACAGACCCCGTCAGGTCACAGTCAGAGGGGACACAAACCCTGTCAGGTCACAGCCAGGGGGGACACAGACCCCGTCAGGGTCAGGTCACAGCCAGGGGGGCACAAACCCCGTCAGGTCACAGTCAGAGAGGACACAGACCCCGTCAGGTCACAGCCAGAGGGGACACAGACCCCATCAGAGGGGACACAGACCCCGTCAGGGTCAGGTCACAGCCAGGGGGGACACAGACCCCGTCAGAGGGGACACAGACCCCGTCAGGGTCAGGTCACAGCCAGAGGGGTCAGGGAGGCAGAAAGGAGGAGCTGTGCCATGGCCAGGGGGGTCGTGGGGGTGTGTCGGGGGGTCCTCGGCCAGACACTCTCAGGTATAAATGTCTGAGTCGTCTGAACCTGTGAGTCAGGGGTTTAAAAACTGGAATGACAGAAAATAGCCCTCGTTTCCAAGGCCCAACCCGTCCTACTCGGAAGCAGAGCCATGGAGGGGGGTGGGTTGCTGGGGGGAGGCTCCTGAGCCTGCTCCCACTCCTCTCTAGTGCTCCATAAAGTCATGGAATGGCTTGGGTGGGAAGGGACCTGAAAGCTCATCCAGTGCCACTCTCTGCCAAAGGCAGGGACACTTCCACCAGCCCAGGGTGCTCCAGCCTGGCCTTGGACACTCCCAGGGATCCAGGGGCAGCCACAGCTTCCCTGGGCAACCTGGGCCAGGGCCTCCCACCCTCCCAGGGAAGGATTTACTGGAAAGATTTGCCCTGTGGTCTGTTCCCAGCAGGAGTTCTGGGAAGAACATCCCTCTGTCCTTCCCTCACACCGTTCCCTTTGCTGTGCCTTTTCCCTGAGAGTCCATCCCGTGCTGATCCGGGTTTTGGGGTGACCCTTCTCCATTCACAGATGCTCCATCCCCAGAAACTCCTCCTATCCACACCTTTGAAATTCCCATTCCTTTCCCCCCCTCCCTCCACCACTTTATATTTTACGCCCTGGTTGGTGAGTTCCAGCTTCCAAGCAGGACATTTTTAGAGGAGCAGCTCCCACCCTGCCCCGGGGTCTGTGGTGTCACCCGAGTGCTCCCCACAAACCCACGTGCCCCAGCAGGAGCTGATTCAGGCAAATCTCACTCACCCAGTCACCAAGAAGCCCAAAGTCAGCAGAGGCAGCTCCAGGGCCCTGAGTGACGAGCACTTTTATAGGCCTGACATGGAGAAGAGAAATTGGGAGCCACCTTTATGTAACCACCCCCTGCCCCTTGGGCAATGGGATGTTTTCCCCTGCCAGGACCTTCCCTTGTCGCAACTGTTTTGATCCCCAGCTTATGATGAGGAGATAACCCTCAATCCCACACAGGGGATGCTTCACCCAGCCCAGCCCTGGGCTGAAGGGCTCCCCACCATCAGCTGGGCTTTGGTTTGCTCTTCCAGACCCCTTGGGAGGGTGGATTTGGCCCCCAACACTCTGTGAGTGTCCGTGGCCTCTCTGTGTGCTCACTCCTGGGGGCTGGGGACAGCATTTGGGACCTGGAACTGTCCTTTGGGAGATGTCCTGGAACTGTCCTTTGGGAGATGTCCTGGAACTGTCCTCTGGGAGATGTTCTGGAATTGTCCTTTGGGAGATGTTCTGGAATTGTTCTTAGGGCAGAGTCCTGGAATTGTCCTTTGGGAGATGTCCTGGAATTGTCCTTTGGGAGATGTTCTGGAACTGTCCTTTGGGAGATGTCCTGGAACTGTCCTTTGGGCAGATGTTCTGGAATTGTCCTTTGGGAGATGTCCTGGAACTGTCCTCTGGGAGATGTTCTGGAATTGTCCTTTGGGAGATGTCCTGGAATTGTCCTTTGGGAGATGTCCTGGAATTGTCCTTTGGGAGATGTCCTGGAACTGTCCTTTGGGAGATGTCCTGGAACTGTCCTTTGGGAGATGTCCTGGAACTGTCCTTTGGGAGATGTCCTGGAATTGTCCTTTGGGAGATGTCCTGGAATTGTCCTTTGGGAAATGTCCTGGAACTGTCCTTTGGGAGATGTCCTGGAATTGTCCTTTGGGAGATGTCCTGGAATTGTCCTTTGGGCAGATGTTCTCCCACACAACTCTATCACATTCCATACAGAAAGTGAGAGACACCCCAGCACTTCCTGGGCAACAATTCCACTGGAAATTCAGCTGAAGAGAAGCTCCTGCCCAAGGTTTTACAGTTTGCCAGCAGTTCCTCATCTCAAAGACTCTCCTCCTTCAGGACAGAGAAAAAAAACCCCTAAAAACCACGAAGAAAATGAATTTTCCTTGGTGAATATGTTTGTTACTGGTCCCCTTGAGAATAAACACCAAAAACATAATATTGACAAGAAACTGAATTTTCCTTTCTGAATATGTTTGTTACTCATCCCCTTGAGAATAAACACCAAAAACGTAATATTGACAAGAAATTGAATTTTCCTTGGTGAATATGTTTGTTACTCATCCCCTTGAGAATAAACACCAAAAATGTAATATTGACAAGAAATTGAATTTTCCTTGGTGAATATGTTTGTTACTCATCCCCTTGAGAACAAACACCAAAAACAAACTGAGAAGAAATTGAATTTTCCTTGGTGAACACGTTTGTTAGAGGCCAACATGAGGAGGAGAACAATCACCTGTAGGACTGGAGGACCCAGAGGAAACATCACCTGAAGCACAGCCCACAATCTCAGCTGGAATTTATTCACAAGGCCTGAAAAATGCAGATATTGTGATTTACATGATCACACTTACATTAAAAAAAAAAAAGCTTAGTTATGTTCTCGTGGCAAATTAATAAAGCTAAAGCAAAAAAAAAAAAAAAATAGAAGCAAAGGCCCAAACAAATTATTTTATTTACATTTCATGACTGTGAAATCCTTTTAATGACCAGAGGAATGTACCCAGCCAATGGATGTGACAGGAAGCTGCCCAGAACAATGTGACTCACATAATTTGTGGGAATTAAAAGTAACTGCTAATTACAGTGATTGACAGCTGAGACAATTAAAGGAGTTACCAAACCAAATGTTTTAGAAAAGTCAGGAAGAACCTCCTTTCGTTGCCTTTGAGGGTTTTCCAAGGTGCAGAAAAGTGGTTTAAAGGACAGTTTTTAGCACAGAAAATAAATCACAGTGGTCTGAGCACCCCCCTGGGCTGGTGGAGTTTTAAGGGGCCCCTGAAGTTGCTTTTGCTGCATTTCAGGCCCTGGCAGCCCTGAAATCCTTTCAGAGACAGGAGATGCAAAACCACTGGTGAAGGTCCAGGCCCTCCTTTCCCAACCCATCAAAGAGCCTCCCCGAGACAAGAGCAGCAGGTCCTCCCTCAGCAGGTGAGACACAAACCCAGAGCTCAGCACCCAGCAGGGTTTGGCCTTTTCCTGCGGGGAATTCATCCCTCCTTCCCCCAAACTCCCCTCCCACCAAACCATCCCGGGGGAAAATTCCTCATCTTGGGTTCTTGGTTTTTCTCCCTGGCACGAGGGTGACGTTGTTGTTGTTGTTGTTGTTGTTGTTGATGTTGTTGTTGTCAGCAGGTTGATTTGGGGGTTTTGGAGGTGCCACTCCTGCTCCTGCAGAGCTGCTTTGCATCCTGAGATTAAATCTGCCCGAGGAAGCTGCTGCTCCTGCTCCTTCCTGGGCCGCTCTATAATTTGCTGTAATTGGGCTCCAGGCTCAGCCTGGCTGGAGGGGAATGCTCTGGGTTCTTACCACACACTGGGGCAGAGAATTATCCTCAGCCTTCATTTGGCCACAGATTTTTATCGGAGCCATTCCGGGCTCGGGAGAGGAAAACAAACAGCACCGGGCTAAAATAAAAATAAATCGAAATTAAAAGATAAACGGGCTAAAATCTGGGAACTGTTGCCCAGTGAAGGCTGCTTTGGATCCTGGACATCCACGTGCTGGAGCAGGTTTCCAGTGTGGTCTGAGCTGTCACCTGGAATCCTATTTCCAAACCCCCTCAGAGTGGAGGCTCAGTAAATATTATTGGAGGTTTTTTCATTGCTGACTGCAAGAGTGAGGGTGAAATAAGGATCTAAGTCAGATCCCCGTTTATTATCTGTATATTCAGTGTTTATTGCTCACACCAGAGTCCTGCACTTTAATATTCACTGGAAGTTGTGTTTTATATGAACTCGATTCCCTTCATTCAACCCTGTAAAAAATAACCCCCTCAAACTCTTCTGCTCCTCTCCCTGCATTTGGAGCTGTCAGAGGTGACTTTTATTCTCCTTTAGACCCCCAAACTGCTGCTCCCCTGTGCTGTCCCGTCCCCCAGCAAAGCCAAACAAGCCCAGGCTGGATGTGGTTGTGGAACTTTGTGGTTGCCAGAGGAGAAAGGAGGATTTGGGGATGAGATTTAATTCCAGGTGTCCTTTGAGGGCACTGGGAGTTTGGAAACCCCACTGAGATTGTGTTCAGCCACCTCTGCAGGTTCCAGGTGCCTTTGGCACAAAGATCCACCTCTTCTGGATTTTTTGTGTTTTCCACACTCCTCATTTAATCCCCTTCCAGCCCAAATCCCCCCGATCCCAAAGGGAACCCCAGCCAGTGACCTTCAGCTGCTCA